TTCTCCTTTCTCATGACCCCAGGGCTAGGTCTCCCATCTGCTGCAGGTGGTGAGGGGCAAAGGATGAGGGAGAGATACGCTCATCCATGCCACTTCACAAGAGATGAGTGACAGGGCCAGCTCTCCCACACTCATGCCCTCAGGGCCAGCTTAACAACTCCCACAACCAGGGCCAGCTCTACCGTACTTTCTGGGCTATGTGCACTCACTCTTCCAAGTACTGCAGTGGGCGGGGGCAGGGGCAGCTCTTCTGATCTCATGCTCCCAGGGCCGAACTCTCCCACAATGCACAGGCAAGGGGTGGGGCCAGTTCTGCAAAGCCCTCAGACAGCTAAGCGTGCCCAGGAGGGAGGCTGCCCAGACCAGAGATGTCTGCCTGGCCTTTGGTGATAACAGACCCTTGCTGCTGCAGGGCCTCAGACCCAGACTTAACCTCTAGCAGTAGCACAGGTCAGGACCCCACTGTGGTCCCAGGTGGCATCACCAGCTTCTCACCTCAGGTTATTCCTCCCTACCCTTGAGTCTCCACTTCGGCCTTTCTGTTAATGTTATTTTTATAAAACTGTGTTTGTTTCTGTTTTTTTTTTCTTAACCTATCACCCAAATAACTGAGATTCTGTTATATTTGTTTAATAAGCTTCACAACACAATACCTAAGTAGTGATTACTCTGTTCTTAACCCTCTAAGATAATCTGGCTTCCTCTTTGCCAAAATCCCAAGACACTTGCACTTTGTGTCTTTTCCTGCGCCAGCTCTTCTAATGTGTCCTCAAACTCTGCCCATGGCTGAATCCCGTACTTCCTCCTCTAACTACTCCCACCGGCAGGAAGTCCAGCCCTATTCTCTCCCCTGCTTAGTGATTGGCTGTAAGCTGCTTTATTGGCATATCAGGGGACAGCTGGGGAGCAGTGCTTGCACAACATTGAGACAGGAGATTCTCAGAATATGGGAGGGAGGGTGTACAGAAATCAGCGTTTGAATTACACAATAACCTTATTCCTACACCTCTCTTCATTGTGCCCACAGCCTTCTGTTCCTCTTTCTTTTTCATTTCTCCACCACTTACTTGCTCCTTTTAGTCCTAGTGTCTCTGAGTGTCTGGTGTTGTCTCAAGAGTGGTCTCAGGAGTGCTATGCCCTGCTCTTGCATTATGGCACCGGGCAGGGGTCATCTCAGGCATGCTCCCCCACTGGCCGGCCCCCCACACCCAGGCCTGTGCAGCGCTAAACTGGTGGCCATCTCAGGCTATCTCCCTGTTTTTGCCCCATGACATGGGACTGGTAATTGTCTTGGACTTGCTCCTGCCCAGGGCCGAGAGACGCAGGCATGGTTCTTCTAGTCTCTGGCTTGCTTCCTGCCCTGGAAGCCCATCTGGGCTTGCACAGCACTGGACTGGTAGATAGCTCTGGCTCACTTTTCTCAGGGATTGTTAGGCTAGTAATCATTCAGTGTTCACAGGTCAGAATGCTGAGCCTAGACACAGCCTCTCTCCTGTCTCTCCCATCTGCCACCTGCTTATACACGTGTGACACAGCAGCCACACCTGTAACACTTCTATGGGCATGTACATTTATTTTCTTTAAGTGAAAAAAATGTTCAGCCGGGCACGGTGATGCACGCCTGTAATCCCAGCACTCCGGGAAGCAGACGCAGCTGGCCTACAAAGTGAGTCCAGGACAGCCAAGGCTACACAGAGAAACTCTGACTTCAAATGCATAGCCCCCTTTTCCACTAATTTTTACTGCATGCATATGTACACACACACACACACACACACACACACACACACACACGCTAATACATATTCCTAAATATAACCTCCTCAGTCGATATAATGTTGCTTGTATACATATTTTCAGGGCTGAACATTTGACACTGAACAACTAATTGGTGTGCTCCTCTCTGGAGAATACTAGCTCTCCCACTCTTAGTATGCCTTAGTTGACTATAGTTCTTTAGGTAGGGTGGAGGGAGGCCTTATTGACATCAATTTGAAGAACAGTGGGATGGGGTATTAGGAAAGAAGAAAGGGAAGGAAGAAATTGCAATTATATTATAATCTAAAAAATAATAAGTAAACCAAAGAAAATGTTCAATATTAAATTGTTGACAATTGACAGTGATGGAAACAACTTTAAAAAATTATTTTATAAGTGGGATATTTTGCCTACACACATTTAAGTGTACCGTGTGCATACTTGGTGCCCTTGGCGTACAGGTGAGGGTACTGGCTCCCTGAACTGGAATTACAAATGGTTGTGAGCCACCATGTGGTTGCCAGGATTCAAATCCATATGCCTTGGAAAGCAGCCAGGGCATTGAACTGCTAAGCCATCATTCCAGCCCATAGGTCTACTTTTAAATTAGAGACATGTTTTAAATCAAATGTAGTTTACCTCTCCAAGTACTGGGGAATACAGAAATGAAACATGCATCTCAAAATATGAGCAAGCCATTAATGAAAGGAATTAAATTTTTTAGGTTCTCAGGAAACAGAATATGACTTGTTTCTATTTCTAACTGAATGTAAGTTTTCTTGGCACAAGGATTTCTCTCTTTCAACTAACTATTCTAATTCTGTTCTGAAAATACTGATGACAGATGGCAGATGCTCAGTAAAACCTGAATGATTTGAATGAAACCCCCCCTACTCTGTGCTTTCATACTTGTTAAAGCATGGTAAGCCCAGGGTCCTAGCAATAGACAAGCGGCTCAGATATTGACATGAAAACTGGCAGTCACGTGTGCAGATCTTCACCCGCACTTGATGATCGCACCTTCTTAAGCACCTGTGGAGTTCACTCTTGATATCAAACAAGAGCAATGGGAAAGGCAAGAAAAAGTATGAAAATAAAATGGTCTTAAAATGTTTTATTCAGTGACAGATTTAACAAAAGACTATAAGAACTAAATAATTGAATCAGTTTATTATTATGCATTTACTCTTTGATTAGAGACTATACATCCCTTTGTATAACTCGATATTAATGAAAAAAATAGGTCATGTCGTTTTTCCAAAGAAAGCCTTCAAATAAGAGAAATAGAGATTTTATAATCCATATTCCCTGATCTAAGTTTCAACCAAAAATAAGATCTCAAAATGTAATTACTTGAAAACTGTGAAACCTAGTTAAGATAACCCTTGAGGCAAATAGAAAATCAAAGAAATCACTGGAAAGGGCTATTCTTTTGAAAATCTATAGGGTAAGGTGAAAATTATGCTTAGAGTCCTCACATTGTTGAAAAGGAAAAACTAAGAATAAGAAAAAAAAAGAGAAAAACAAATATTCAAGATAAAAATAATATAGATAAGAATTAAACAGTTACATGGAGCCTACTGGTAACATATTTAAAACCTCTCAGTAGACTATTTCCTAGTGAAGTTATCAAAATAACCCAGAAAAATTTAAACACATATTGCTGTATATGAATGCAATAGCTTGGAAACTGCCTTCTAATGGAAGTACAAATAAAACAAAAGAGAAGTTAAAGGAATTCTAAATAATTCAGATGTTATTGTTTCATATATTACTTAAAAATCCAAGACACCTTAATTTGTATTCACAAAAATATGGTACTGTTTTGTTAAATAATGGAGCAGCCATGGACCGACCTCACCTATGGACACATTTGCAAAATGTTCAAACTTACCCAATAACTTGGAGCAAGGCATCAAAGGGCCAGTAATGAACAGAGTATCGTGTATGTGTGTGTGTTTTTGCAAATTGAGAGAAGTGATCCACATCCATCGATGATGAATGAAAGCAGATAAAGCTCAAAGTTGCTTTCCAGTAAACAAACAAACAAACAAGCCCCAGAGAGTCATAGAAAGAAACTAAATATGGTGGAGATCATCACGTTACCATTTGTTGTTGGTTTAGGTGTGGTAAACGCATGAGGGATGTTTTTGGTTTACTGGGTTAATTCTCCAGGGTGCCTGGGAAGCATTCTGATACGACATTTCCATGAAACCAACCGTGATGTTAAGAAACAGGAATGAAGGGGGCTGGCTGCCTGCAGTTTCTCTGAGGTAGACCCTCACCCAAGTTTCCTACTAAGGCAATGAAAGCATCTCATGACCTCGCAGACTCCCACTATCTATCCTTAATGATGAGTAAGGCTTTCTTTTCAATTGTTAACACTTAAGAACTTAAGAAGTAAGGTTATGAAGTAGGACAGAGGGAGCTATGTGGCTAGAAGTGGGTATGATGTAGCAGGGAGTAAAAGCCAGGTTAAGTGCTCACAAAGTGTGATAGGAGGGGTCTTCTCCCCCAGTTCCATGAACAAGCTTCCATTGGCCACAGCCTCAAACTTGCTAAAGGCAACCATCAAGATACGTGTAAAATGTGACATTAGTCCACCTATTTTTACCTCATCCACACCAACTCAATCAAACTGATCTGATTCTTTCCTTATACAGTGAGGAGCAGTGATTTCCTAGTTGTGTAAAAAATAAAGAAGAAATTAATACAAACCAAAAACTTCGTAATTTTGCATTAACATGACCTATTGATCTTCATTTGAGTGAGGTTGTATTTGTTTACAAATCTTTTCAAATTAATTGTGTGTGTGTGTGTGTGTGTGTGTGTGTGTGTGTGTGTGTGTGCATGCATGCGCGCCCACTTGGAACCACATGTGAAGTAGTTTTTTAAAGCACATTCCAACTCCCTTTAAAGGGAGCTTTGTTCTCAGGTGATCCATTAACACAAGTACCACTATAGAATTTAGGACAAAACTCAATTTGTATTCTAGAAGTTCCTAATGTGATTCATTTTTCAGGCTCCTCACTCCTCCCCTCTTGCCTCCAAACACATTCTTCTTCCTCCCACCTCCACAGCTATTTCAGAAGGTTCTGTAACAAGTTCTCAGAAGCCCATTGTGTGGTAACAAAGAATCCCAGCAGCACAGCAGGTTCTGTTCTCCAGCTGCTCTGAGTGGAGGACATCCTTACCCCAGGCCTGCAACTCACAAAGGCTTGGCTCCCAAGTTAGGGCTCAGCATGGAAATCAGACCTATTGGGTGGATAAGCGGGCAGGTGCTGAAGAACCTCTCTGGCAGACGTATGGCTGATGCTCCTGTAAATGGGAATTTGGGCGTGGGAGCCGGAATGAGTCCCAGAGGCTTCCCTGTGCTCCCAGTCACCTGGGAGGTGGGCCAGGGTTCCATATGCCTGCGAATGTCACACAGTGTTTCTCCTAACTTCTCCTTCCTTAGTTGAGGGGCTCCAGAAGGCAGTCATGGACCTTATAGATGAGATTAAAGATGAACTCCCTAACATCCTCAGATTATCAGAGTCTACTCAGGTAATGTGATTTATAAGCTTCATAAAGAAGATAAGATATGTAATTTTTGTATCATACAAATCATTAATGATGGTATTAGTAACTAAAGTTTAAGAAATATTAATTTTTCCTCAGAAAAAACAATTTCACATTTTATTTACTGGGAGGAGTCCTTAAGTAGCAGAGAGGTAGATCAGGAAGAAAATGAAATAAATCAAGATTAAAAACAATCATAGCATAGTTAGATTAAAAATTCAGAAGTCTTTCATATCAGAAACTGACAATGTAGTTTACATAATGTAAAATTGGAAAACTAGCTAGAAATATTAAGTAAAAATTTAAAGACAATTAACTGAATACAAATACTTAACTAAGATAAACTAATACTGAAAAGATACTGTGTGAATATATGTGTGCTAATGTGGAAAGAAAATACCAATTGCTAGGTCCCCACCTGCTGCAGGGGGTGACATGTCCTGCCCTTTACCTGGGGCGGGTTTCTCTCCCAGAGGCTCTTCACCGTATAATCCATACATTGGGTTCCTCAGGCCCCCTTTTGCCCCTTGCCCTTCTCTCTCCCCCCTTCTCTGTGCCCCTTCCTCTTCCCTTCTCTCTCACTCTCCCTCTCTTTCTGCATGCACTTCTTTTCTCTCTCTCCCTCCCCTTCCCTTCCTGTGCTGCTCCAAATAAACCTGCATTTATATAATATAGCTTCATCTCACCATTAGCTCATTCTGTTTTACTCAATCATCAATATCTACCAATTTAAACAAAATATACATGCACTGTACTTTTAAAGTCTCTGTTCCAAAATGATTTGAAATACATAAAATATTGAAACTGAAGGCAGGGCTGGAGAGATAGCTCAGAGGTTAAGAGCACTGGCTGCTCTTTAAGAGATCATGAGTTCAATTCCCAGCAACCACATGGTGGCTCACAACCATCTATAGTGAGATTTTATGCCCTCTTCTGGCATGCAGGTGTACATGTAGGCAGACTACTATATATATAATAAATAAATCTTTAAAAAAAAAAAAAAGAAATTGAAGGCGGAGAGAGTTTTGAAGACACTTATAGTAAAGAAAAGAACTATCTTTTCTAGCCTAGTTATTTTTCACCATTGAAGTACAATACACTTTACATGACACCGTAAAGGCCAGATTTATAGCAATGTCACATACCTACTTTTTAGCCCAAACCAGAAAGGAACCAACAACAAAAAGCACCCTAAACAACACAGTAATCACAAAGGTTGTGCGCTTCGTTAGGACAGGTGTTGGCGCTGTCTTACTCTATCCTTGAGATAAGCATCTGTCAAACATTTGCCAAATCACCTCTTAGTTGCTTGGGACTGGGAAGAAAGGAATACAAAGACAATAAACAGGACATGATCCCTTGTCAGTGGGGTTAATTTAATGAAGACAGGATTATAATGGTAAAGTTAATAAGGCATTATTAATTTAACCCAGACCCAGAATGTAAAGATCTTTGGATGTTATGCAACAAAGAGTCTGACCCTTGTCTAATTATAACACAAACATAGGACAGAAAAGATTTTGAGGTTGGAAATAATACCTAATTTTAAGATAGTTCAGTGACCTGTCTGTGCAAGCAAAGAGTCCGAGTCCCCAGTACTCATGTAAAAACCACGTATACCTGCATGTGCCTGTCACCCTGGCATTGCAGGGTGGAGACAGGTGGACCCCGGGATCTCACTGGCTAGCCAGCCTGGCTGAAATGAGGTTCAGTGAAAGACCTCTCTCAAAATATCAGGTAGAAAGAGAATGTTAGAGGAAGACACAGGAAGCCCTTCTTTGACTTCTTCATGGGCACATGAACACAGATATGTATATATATCATACACACACATAAAGGAAAAATTATTTTTCTAGTGATAATGTTTTCTTAATACTGGCAGCGTTTCTAGTAAGATTCTGCTGTGAATGGCTGCAAGAATATTGGGAATATAAAGAATGGGTGTTCAGTGTATCATAAAATTGACAGTCTGGGATGACAAGGCTATGCAGAGGTTAAGGAAGAGTCTGTTTGTCTTGAGTACCTGGAAGAATAATGGTTCTATTAAGTAGGACATGGGACTATGTGGACTATGTGAAGAAGAGAGAGATGGAATATAATAAAATTATTTTAATCGAGTCTTCATTCAAGGGATATAACACCTTGTGCTTAATCCAGGCAGTTGAGCTGTAAATTGGAGCTACTTAGCTTATAGTTCTGACTGTATACTACCAATAACAATAACAATAATAATAATAACCCTTCTTCATCTGTGGGAAAGAAATGCGAAGGTGAAGTGTGGGTTTTCAGGTGAGAGGTAGTTGGGCAGTGTACAGGTGTTGGTTAGCTGAGCAGACCAGACTAAGGCTTGGAAACTCTAGAAGGCAAACAAAATCTTCAGGTTAGAGTCTAGTCACCCCATCTTTGCATTCTCCTGAACTTGGTATAAAGTATTTTGAGAAACTGGGAACTTTTCTTGGCCAAACTTTGAGAGAAGAGATGGACAGGTCTCCATGGTGGACCTAGAATGTAAATGCTTAAAGTAGGTGGAAGTGGCAATAATTATTGAAGATGTCTCAAGGGGAGTCATAGAAGCCAGAGATATGCCTTTCATCTTGTTCTGTTTTCTGATGGCATCATTGTCATCAGATCTATGGCCATGATTTATATTCAGATAAATAGCTCCCTTTTATCTAGAGAGAGCTCTATATCTCAAATTTATTTACTAATGAGAATCTTAGACTTTTTAGAGAAAAACGCAAGGAAGACTTTTTGCTCATTTTGAAATCCATTTTTCTTCTTTTATCATTCACTTTGAGAATGTAGTTAGACAAACCCCCTCATACGTGTGAGATGTGCAAGGCACAGGATTGGGTAGAATGCCTTTAGGGAGTCCTTAAGAAAGTACTTACTCAGACACCCACATGGAGACTGAACTGCCAATTGGCTACATTTGAGCAGGGGGTCTAGGTCCTCTCATGCATAGTCCTTGGTTGGTGTATCAGTCTCTGCAGGACTTGGGGTCAGTTCTTAACCACACACCCATGATTTGCTTAAAAACAAACCAACAACAGCATAAGTGACAGAAAATGGAAAAAAAAGAAAAACCTGGCCGCTGAGAATAAAGAATCTTTAATTTTTTTTCCTATTCGAACTAAGAAACTTGTTGAACACAATACTGCTTTGAAGTCATCATAAACATGTCACTCCACCTTTGAGGAATGTATTTAGCTGCTTCTCCCTGACATCTTTTTGTTCAGAGTGCAGGAGATTACCACACCTGCATCCCTGTGCCTAGGTTTGCTTTCCTACATCATTTTCCTGAGAGGCAGAAAGGATGTCTTCCTAGGAAAGAGCCATTTCCATGGTTTGTGGGAGAGAAGATAAGAGCGGTCAAGAACACTGTGTTGTTGGAAGTAACAAGTCTTTGAAAGTTATATGGGAAAGTTTTTGTTTGTTTATACTTTGTTTTAAAGAAAAAGGAATACGGGGCATCTCAGGATCAAATTGTTACAACTAACTTATGATCAAATTGTAACAACTAAGCATTAGAGGGAAGCAAAGACCGTAGTCACCAGGCACAAGTTAAGACCTAGGGACGGCTAGGATTTCATGATAACAGCTAAATATGCTATTATTGCAGTGCAGGCTTGCATGAATGTCATGTTTGATCAATCTAAATTATGTGATCCCTATGTGAGATTTGAGATGAGCAAATTCTCACTGATAATTGAATTTATTTTTATATAAAGACAAAAAGCAAGAAAGAAAATGTAGAAGGGGAGTTAGACTGATTTGTCTGATAGAATGAATCAGTTTGCTTAAAAGAAACTGATGGGGACAGTGACCGCACGCCATGGTGTAGAGAAGAGCATGAGCTGTGATGGTACATGCCTGTAGTGCCAGCTCGCAGGGCAGAGGAAGGAGGGGCTGGATTTGGAGCCAGGTTGGGCTTACACAATGCGTATGAAGCCATATCGGCTTAGATAGCAAGAGTGTGTCTCAGAAAACAAAACAAAATAAACAAAAAACAAAACAAAAAAAAAAAAAAAAAAACAGAAGAAAGTAAAAGATCCTGTAGAGCCACTTAGAAAATAAAAAGAAGAATCTACAGAAGATAATCATTTCACAACTGCCAACATGGTAGATTACCCCAACACGAATCACTTAAAAAGGAGACCAAGGCTGACTGTTCTTATTAATACAGCAACAGAGAACGTGGGTAAACTGCAATCATGAGTAACATCAACCTAGAGCCGAGCCCACAGGGAGCCAGGGTTGAGAAGGGTGAGCATGGCATAGACAAGCCAAGAGAAACAGACCAGCAGCTACTGGAGCTTCAATACTGCAGGCAGCACGGCTTCTTCCAGCTGTTCTTCAGCAACAGCCAGAGAAGAAAATGATACCAAGTGATTATACCTTTGTGCTGTTTTACTCACTCTGCTTTTAGAGTGCTTTTAGAGGGGAGCAGTTTCAGCAGCCCACTGTCTCTATCACACTATCTACTGTTGCTGTTGCCAGGGAGACTAAGACCACTGTGGGCCACAGGACTTTTTCAGAACTGTTAACAGAACAAACTACATCAGGACACTAAAAACATGGAAAAATACATCCTTACAGATGGGCCAGAACAGCTTAGTTGTCTCCAATGAAAAGTGCTGAACATTAAGAAAAACATGGAAATCAGATGGTGTATATTTATTTTTAAAGTAAATATACAAAAGGTTAGCTTTTAGGCAAACACATGATGTTCACTGCAAACAAACAAAACCAATTCAACAGATATTGAGTATGTATATATTTAGGCTTGACAAAATGTTACATACTCAAATTTGCTTATCTGCAGCCAATGCTTAACCAATATTTCCTAAGTTATGACCAGATGATCCCCAAATTACTTAGATTAGTGGTAAACTGTGCCTGTCTGTTGCCTGGAATGCAGTTTCTGTGGTAAACTCTTGGGTAGGGCACAGAAGAAACCACATGTCATCTGTTTGATAATGCAACAAGCTTGTTAGAAATGACTAGAATTTCTGAAGTTTTGAGATGTAGGATTTTCTTAAGCTTACTAGGAGATCTGCATATAGGGCATTTGATTTAGTTTCCATTAAATCTTTTCTACATACTATATATGCTCTGGTTCATGACTAAAACCCTTCCGAGTTAACTTGTAAAAAATAGTTGCAACAGTTTTAAATAAGTGCTATTGCTTGAATATTTCAGATACTGAGTAATACTTAGATACAGTGGAGCCTGGTGATTCAGGACTGTAGTACCAGGTAAACAGGAAGATGAGGTAATATGATTGCAAGTCCAAGGCCTGACTGGGTTACAGATGAGTTCACACCCAGCCTGTACAACTTATGAGACCTTGTCTCAAAATAGAAAGTAAAAAGAGAGCTAGGACATAGTTCAATGGTAAAGCACTTGCTTAGCATGCACAAGATCCTGGGTTCAATCCCAAGTACTGGGAAGAAAGAAGGGAGAGAAAGAGAGAGGGGGGAGAGAGAGAGAGGAGGAAAAGGAATCTTGTTTATTTTTTTAAAGCAACCTCTAAAATCAATGTAAAAATACCATAAACCACCAGGCACAGTACCACATGCTTTAATCCCAACACTCAAGTCAAGTAGTGTTTGGTGGATCTCTATGAGTTCAAGGCCAACCTAGGCTACATAACAATTCAAGGCCAACTAGGGTGACACATGAGTATGTCAAAAAACAGACTAAAAAACCATAAACCCAAAAAGAAAAAAAAAATCTATCTTTTGATTAATTCAACTCTTGATATTTATCCTAAGGAAAAAAAATATTAATGTGTTCATACAAAAGCTTTACTTAGGGATGTCAGTGAACTGTATGAGGTGTATTTATTGGATTGAGTGAGTGTAAGTCATAATGTACAATGTAGTTATAGACTCAATTTCTGCTATAAGTAGATTCTAACAATGTATCAGAGAACCAACCATATATCAGGTTCTTTTTAAAGCTTTTTTTTTTTTTTTTTTTTTCAGAAAAACGAACCAGTGCAGAGAACATCCAAGGTCAGAATGGCTCTAGCTTTAGCTAAGATCAACCGTGGAACAATAATTAAGGGACTAAACAGCATATCCAGCTCCTCCAAATCAGTGGCCAAACTTCTGCAGCCGCAGCTGGCGTGTAGACTCTTAGAACTGAGACACATATCCCATCGGCTCCTGAGAGAAGTGAATGAACCCAGGCAACCCCTGACCAACATGCAGGTAAGCGCACGTGGCATGCTCATGAGCTGTGGAGCTTTTCTAAAGATTCATAACTGACCAAAGTGTTGAAAGTAAGCAACTGTTGAATCCTCAACCCTAAACAGGACATCTATATCACTCCTTTCACGGCTCAGGGAACATCACAGGGGCGGGGCAGAAGACTGGAAGGAATGCTGTGAAACCCCACTCGGACATGCCATGCCAGTTGCACCCATGAGCTCAGAGCGGCAGTGGCTACCCGAACACGACTCGGCCCACTGATACTCCATCACCAACTAGGAAAGGCTCGTAAGGCTATAGACAGTTAATGGCTGCTAGAGGAGGGTGAGTCATTTTTCTTAAGTGATACAGGCACAGGTAAATTGCCCCAAACCTATGTTCAAACAAGTCCACAAATTAAAGGTAATGGGCCACCCCTTCCTCAAAAGTCATGAAAGTAGGAAGGGACTTGTTGGGGAAAAGAGAGTATCAACGAGAGAGAGAGAGAGAGAGAGAGAGAGAGAGAGAGGGATAAGACAGAAAATATGAAAAGTTATGATCAAAGTATACTATGTTACACAGAAATGTGAAAGAATAAATAACATGTTAAAACTTCTTAAATTCAGAAATAAAATTGTGGTGTATTTGGAGTCCTTCATGTGAAATAGATAAAGTGGGATAAAAGAAATATAGCATAGTTGCTAATTTAAATCTGAAGGGGAAAATAATGTGGGATTTTTCCACCTTACTATTTGAGTTTACTATTACCTCATTATTATTGTCCATTTCAAATAGTTCAAAGTAAATATAATCATGCAAATTGACTACCTGTGTCAAACCTAAAGGGAATTCTACAGTGAATTTTCAAAGTGGTTGTGTTTTGCTCCTTACGCTCAGAACATTGTTACATTTCTAAAATAACCTTTGGTATGGTAGTTGGGTGTATTCAGCTATAAAGAAACTTGTATGTACCCACTAATATTTATGTCTGTTTCTAATTGTTTTCTGCATGGCTTTCTGAAGCTTCTGTTATTTTTGTTAAGGGATGCAACTGTTAAAGCTCTATTTCTTTTTTCAACTTCATGACCCAGTAATTCATATGCTTCAACATGGACATTGTTCAGAGCATCCCAACTTGTTCTGTGGGAGAAAGCCTAAGTGTATCAGTTTGAATAATTCTGTTGAGGGGAGAGAAAACCATGCTCAAACTGGGTTAAACCAAAAATGAAGTGTTAGCTCACACAAATAATCGAGTTAAGATTCCAGACACAGCTGCACAGATAATAAAGCCCTACCTTTCTTCCTTCGCATATCTTATTCTTTTCCCTACATCCACTCTACTCTTTGACTGTCCAAGATGACTTGTAGCTGTTAGGGGGTCTTCATTCTTCCAGGCTCAAGTAATTACAGCAGAATATCAAGTCCCTGAGGCAGTGTTCCTTAGGCTCACTGAAGGAGGGTGCATACACCTCAGTGCTCGCCTTTAAACGGGCCACATCGGTTGCCCCAAAACAGACTCCCTGCTTCATCTTCAGACTTGGGGTCAGAGTCCTATCCAGACCACATGGCCTGAAACTGGAAGAATAGGTCCTCAAATAGAATGGATGCAGAATGCCCATTTTGTTATTTAGGAATCTATCTTTAATGAAGGGTTTTAAATTTGAAAAAAAATAATTAAAATACTTCAATTATTCATTAGCTGAGAACAGAATTTATAAAAGGTTTCTTATGATACTTGATATCTAAAAATATAAAGAGGGGACTGGAGCTATGGCTCAGAGGTTGAGAACACTGGCTCCTCTTCCAAAGGTACTGGGTTCAATTCCCAGCAACCACATGATGGCTACAACCACCTATAATGAGATCTGGTGCTCTCTTCTGGAGTGCAGGTGTACATACAGGCAGAACACTGCATACATAATAAATAAATAAATAAATAAATAAATAAATAAATAAATAAATAAATAAATCTTAAAAATTATTTGAAACAGAATATAATATTAAAAAGTTTGCATTTGCTAACTAATGGAGTTTGTATTTGCTAACTTGGAGTTGTTAAGAACTCCAAGCCTTGTTTCTTATCCTTATAATGTTGAAAAAATAACTGAATATTGTCTTAATTCCCTTTGAAATGTTCTTTGAAAGCTAATGTTTTACCTTGTTATTCCTTCTCTGATTTTGCCCAAACCATAGGCTTAAAAAATAATTTCTATTTTATCTGAGAATGTTTGCCTCTATACAATGTCTGTGTATATCGTGTGTCCATGCCCGTGAAGGTCAAAAGACAGCATCAGATCCCCTGGAACTGGGGTTATAGACAATTGTAAGCCTCCATATGGGTGCTGGCAGTCAAACCCAGGTCCTCTGGAAGAGCAGTGGGTGCACTTGACAGCTGAGCCTCCCGTCCTCAAACCATAGTTTTTATGGAGGTGTTGTGAAATGTCTTTTGAGTATATTTCTGAAGTATTTCCAACAAATTAGGGTGTCATGTTTGTTTGTTCTTCCTTTTCTACAAACTCAAAGCTGCAAAGGATCTGAGATTTTACATTGCTTTTAAGCCAACAGGTTTTCCTGTTGTAGACACACACACACAGACACACACAGAGAGAAACACACACCCCTCACCCCTCATGTCAGGAGCAGAGAGTGTATTCACAGGAAAAGTATTAGCCAGAGCAATGTCTTGTGTTGGTTTTCTACTCTTCACGCCTTCTACAGGATGATGCAGTTGGGGTCTTTCGTTAACTGTGCATATTTAATGTGGTATCTGGAGAGAAGACCCTTGAAATGGTGAAATAGGGCCTTTCTTCAGAGACACTGAAACAGCTGCTCAGCGACTCTCCTCTGGGAGTGGAGACACTCCATTACCTTGGAGTGTGTCTGCACAAGAAAAAGGAGAGTGTGCCCTCTCACATAGCTGGAGATTCATCTCTAGATCTCTCCACAGGAATGCACTTGTGGTAGCTGCTAAAGCTATTTGATAGTCAAACATGTCCTTTGCTCAGAAGACACAGTTTGTGCAGGAATGAGTAACCCATGGAGAATAGTCTTTCTGTCCTCATAAAAACTTAGAGGTAAAAAAAACCCTATCTTTGCATTCCAGGTATGTGTTTCTTTTTATCTATTAATAAAAACTATTAAAAATACACCATATTTGCCTTTTTGCCTTGACTGGCAATGAGATTCTGAGATACAGACCTAGCTTGTCTTACTCTAGCTTAACGTACTCTAGAAACTTGTTCTGAGGCTGAGTGACTGGTCCAAGGCCGATGTGGGGTCATTGTCTTCTTTGACATCAATTTATAGTCAGCACACATAATTTTTTTTCCTTGTGAGGGCTTTCTAATGATGTAATGTTAAATAAATTTACCAGTGAAAGAGTTCAAACACAAAAGTAATTTATCAGAAGTCCCGCACAATCAGTCCTAATGTGTATCTGATTGCCTTCAGAATGGACCTTTATAAAAAGAAACACCTCCTAGCTCCTTCTCCATTTTTCTCACAGAGATGATAACCATGAAGCTGAAGTGAACATCTCTATATATACATTTATATTTTATTACATTTGGATAGTTCTAGTTATGATATTGAATATTACTATGTATGCTCAACATTCACATACATTACATTATACTGTACTTATCCTTCTGAAAATTCTTGTTTTTGTCTAACATTATTGGTAAATGTAGCTAGAGTTTATTTTATCTTAGTTTATCTCTCTGGTATTCCAGAAAAAGAAAAGATAATCTAGTGTTTGTTACTGGCAGAATGAACAATTTAATTTCCAATTCTTTTCTTTTACAAATGGTGCTTTGGTTATGCCTATAGATGTCTTGCCCTCCATGTTTGTCTGCATGTATGCAAGAGGGATTTCCTTCAACTCTTGCCAACTCAAACTGTACTTCAGGGAGGCTGAGCTTTCTTGAAAAAGTTCTAAGTCCTGAATCTGATAATAATTAATTCAATTCTTGAAAACCCTTAGTAATATTTTATCAAATATTATGTCTGTCAGTTTCTATAAACTCTTTTCTGACATGCCTATTAAATACATTTTAATTTTACTGTTTTTTCCTTGTATAGTCGTGTTGAGAATGGAAACAAGGACAATGTGCATGCCAGCAAGCACACTGTCAGTGAGCAACAGCCCGCCCTCTCGCTTACTCTTCATGTGTGTCTGTGTCCTGTGTGCACCGCCCCGTGTCTTTCCACACAAGGTCTCACTGTGCAGCTCTGGCTGGCCCGGGGCTCACTCTGTAGACCAGGACAACCTTAGTCTCACAGAGATCCCCCTGACACAGCCTCCCAAATTCTGGATGAAAGGTGTGAGACAAACATGCCGGGCTCTTTATCTCTTCTTTGTGCATCTTGAGTAATTAGCTATGTCCAACATGTTCGACCTATTTACTGTATCTTAAACATAAAACCTTGATTCCTTTTGTCTGCATGAGTGTGTGTGTGTGTGTGTGTGTGTGTGTGTGTGTGTGTGTGTGTGGTGATGTGTATGGAGAGGTGGCTATATGTGTATAGAGAGGCCAAAGGTTGACATCAGGAACCTTCCTCAATTGCACTCTGCTGTATTGTTTGAGACTGGGTCTGCTCTAAGCCTACAGCTAGCTACAGGATCCTCCCCTCTCTGCTTCCAGCGCTGGGATTGCAACTGTGTACCACCAAGCCCAACTTTTAACTCAGGGCTTCATGCTTGTATGGCAAACATGTTACCAAATGAGCCTTTTTCTTCTTGCCCCACATTAATGACTTTAGGCAGACCTGTGAGTTTTTACCCTAAGGACCTGTTTCTTTTCTCCTTCAAGTCTTGGAGTGCTTTTTCGCTTTGAATTTTTCCAATTATCTTGAACAAATTTGTGTGTGTGTGGACTTTCAAATGATTATTTTTTAAAGTGTTAGGAGCTACTAAGTTTTCAGACTGTCATGATTTGTATTGCAGGCTCATAGGGGATTATATCCGTATGTTTATAACTGTATTTTAACTGGAACTACCTCAGCAGATTTTCATCCTCACG